ATGATTACACTTAAACCTATGAAGGATTTAAGGTTAATCATGATTAGAAAGCAATGATACACTTAAGAAATCCCAAGAACACAAGATAAAAGATGAAACTTAGATTAAAGGAATAAGCCTTTACCAAAATGTCAAGTGTTTAGGAGAGAAATTAAGATAATCCTAAAGATTAGGTCTAGATTGTATTTATAGTAGCTAAAAACTTAAATCGGGTCAACCCGACAAACCCGGGTTTGACCCAAACAACTAATGGGAAAGTTGACCTCGATGCTCACCGCAGACTGGCTCGGCCCGCAGAAAGTGGCTGCGTGCTGTGGTCGAGAAAACGGCTTCCTCGGGCTCAAAAACGCGGCATTGTACTGGACGCGTGTGAAGGCCGCGGTGCTTGTCCCACAATAAGGCGCAGACTGGCTCTGGCCGCGTAAATGGCCGCGTGTGGAGGTCGAGGATAGGCGTCTCGGGACAAAATAAGCGGCTTGGTGCTCACCTGCGTGTGGAGGCCATGGTACACGGCTAGTGGAAGGGGGGGGGGGGGCTGCTCGTACCCGCGTGTGGAGGCCGCGGGTGATGGTCGAGGAGATGGTGTTCTTGGGCACGAAAACACGGCCCAGGGTTGGTCCGCGTGGGCTCGCCCGCGGTCGGCCTCCTTGGTGTGCTCCATTCCTTTGACCAAACTCTTTAATCTTCAACGTGAACTTCTCCATACCTGTAATACCAAACATTCATATGCTATGCATCTAAAGGGACTCTAAATGCAATCTAAGTGATTGAAATGAGCACAAAAAGAAAGATTAAAACTATGAAATATGCAAGATATCACTTGGCCCTCCCTGCCTCAGTCTAAGGTTTATATCTCTATTATCTACGCTTCAAATGATCCTGCATTGCGTTCTAATCTCTCGGCTGAGATCATTGACACTGAAGCTACCTACGAACTGGATGGTAAGGCATGGTTGCTTATGGGAGATCTTAACCAAATTCGTGATCCTTCTGAGCATTCTCTTCCACCGTCTCTGAACATGGATAATAGAATAAGGGAACTGAATCGATGCCTTCTGGAGACTAGTTTGGAGGATCTCAACTTCAGGGGAACCACCTTCACTTGGTGGAACAAGCGTAAATCTGCTCCACTAGCAAAGAAGCTTGACAGATATATGGTTAATGATGAGTGGTATAATGTTTTCCCCTCGTCAGTGGCATTCTTTGGGAGGCCAGACTTCTCTGACCATGCCGTTATCATCATTTTGGAACCTGACAGGATAAGATCTCGAAAACCATTTCAATTCTATAATTATCTTCTTAAAAATCCTGAGTTCCTAGATACGGTTTATGCTAGCTGGTTTACTTTCAACGTTACAGGTTCGGCCATGTACAAAGTATCCAGAAAGCTCAAGCTGCTAAAGAATGTCATAAGAGAATTTAGCAAGCAGAATTACTCAGAGATTGAGAAGAAAACTGCCCTAGCTCGTTAAAAATTGCTCCGAACTCAAGCTGTGATGCTAAATAACCCTTCCACTAGCAACGCCACATCTGAGCTTAAAGCTTTGGAAGAATGGGAGGAACTATCGACTGCTGAGGCTTCATTCTATTACCAGAGATCCAGAATAAATTGGCTTTCCTTTGGTGATGGCAACACCACTCTCTTCCATCGCTATGCCGCTTCTCGCCAGGCTGTAAACCACATCCACTTCCTCACCTCTGAATCGGGAGAGAGAGTTAAAACTCAAGCTGGCACTAAAAAACTATGTGTTGACTATTTCTCTGACTTGCTGGGTAGTACTGTGTCTCCTCCAATGTTTGTTCAGAGTGACTTGGATATACTATTCAACTTCAAATGCTCACCGTATCAGGTCTTGGGTTTTGACAAGGCTTTCAATGCTACTGATGTCAAGGATGCTTTCTTCTCCTTGCCAAAAAAATAAAACTGAAGGACCTGATGGATACTCATATGAGTTCTTCACTGCTACTTGGCCAATCATTGGGCTAGAGATTACTGAAGCGATTCTGGAATTCTTTCACTCAGGAAAACTACTCAAGCAATGGAATTCAGCAAATTTGGTTTTCATACCGAAGAAGGCTAATTCATCTCTCACGACGGACTTCAGACCAATCTCATGCTTAAACACGGTCTACAAAGCTCCTGGCTTCACGTTTAAAGGAAATCCTACCCCTAATGATCTTGAAATCCTAATCGGCATTCCTTCCTGGTAGATTGTTAGCTGAAAATGTCCTGCTTGCAACATACCTAGTGAATGGCTATAACTCGAAAACGCTAACACCCCTAGAGATATGTTAAAAGTCGACCCGAGGAAAGATTTTGACTGCCTTTGTTCGGACTTCATCTTAGCTTTGCTTAAGGCTCTAGATATCCCCGACAGATACATCAGTCTCATAAAAGAATGCCTGTCAACGGCCTCATTCTCTGTATCAGTGAATGGAGTCTCTGGTGTGTTCTTTCAAAGTACCAAAGGGATTTGTCAGGGAGATCCTTTATCGCCGTATTTGTTCGTCTTGGCCATGGAATGCCTTTCTAGGTTGCTCAATTCCAGATATGAAGCTGGGGACATTCGCTACCACCCGAGAACGGAGGAGCTGAAGATCTCTCATCTTATGTTCGTAGACGATGTTATGGTCTTTTTTACGGATCAAGTAACAGGCTGCACGGTATCTCGGAATGTCTTGATGATTTTGCTTCTTTGTCCGGTCTCCACATGAACACCACCAAAACTGAGTTGTTTACCTCGGGTTTGGACCAAATTGAAACCACTGCCATCACTAACTATGGTTTCACTTCTGGTCAGTTCCCAATCAGGTATCTAGGCCTTCCGCTCATGAGCAGGAAGCTAAAAATCTCAGAGTACTCCCCATTGATGACAAAGCTCAACAGTAGGTTTCAGTCATGGTCAGCAAAGCTCTTGTCACTCAGAGGTAGACTACAGCTTCTCAAGACGGTCATCTTCAGAACTGTCAACTTCTGGATGTCTGCATTCATACTGCCCAAAGGTTGCATCAAACAAATCGAATCTCTCTGCTCGAGGTTCTTGTGGTCTGGTAGTACTGAAAAGAGATCCATAACGAAGATAGTTTGGAATAAAGACTGCTTACCAAAGGAGGAAGGAGGTCTTGGACTTCGAAGCTTCATAATTTGGAACCAAGCGCTTTGCCTTAAATTTATTTGGATTCTTTTGTCCAAGTCCCCTTCCCTTTGGGCTGATTGGCATTGGAGCACTCATCTTCGTGAGCATTCTTTCTAGACCATCACTGCATTTGCCTCAGACTCCTGGACCTAGAGGAAACTTCTCGACCTACGCCCATTAGCTCTGCAGTTTGTCAGAACCAGACTGGATAATGGAATGAACACAAGCTTCTGGTACGACGTGTGGACTCCTATGGGTCAGCTTATAACACATATTGGTCCCTCCGGACCTCGTGCACTGCGTATCAGAAAGGATGCTGTTGTGGCAGAAAAAATTAGAGGCTCATCTTGGTCTCTGCCGCACCCTCGTTCGCAAAAGGAAGTAGAGCTCCATGCATACCTTACAACTCTTTCACCCCCACTTGATCTTGATGTTTTAGATGAATATGAATGGGTTGCTGGTGATAATTCTCTATGTGTTTTCAGGTCCTCATCAACCTGGGAAGTGCTCAGACCCAAGGAGCAAGTTCGAGATTAGTTTGATGTGGTATGTTCAAAGGTGCAATACAAAAGCTAAGCTTCACGATGTGGATAGCAAACTATGATAGATTGCCCACAAGAGATAGATTTGCAGCTTGGGGAATGGCCATCTCACCTTCCTGCCCCTTCTGTTCTGTGCATGATGAAACTAGAGATTTCCTCTTATCATGCGTTTACAGTCAAGATGTATGGAGGGAAGTTTTCTGCGATGCCAGTATCCTAAAGCAGTGATCACCTCATGGTCTGAACTGCTATCTTGGATCAGAAATGCTCCGTCCTCCATGCACACCCTCCTCAAGAAATTAGCAATTTAAACAGTGATTTATCATCTCTGGAAGCAGCGGAACAACAGAGTCCATAACCAGACTTCAATACCAGCAGCAACGGTGTTCAGAGAGATTGATAAAGAGATGAAGAACATTATTTCTTCAAGAAGATTTCGGAAAAAATTCTCTTCTCTGATGACCATGTAGATCAGATAGGAAGTTAGTGTTTAGTAAACTGTATGGTCTATCTTGTTTTTTGCTTCTTTTTGCCAAGATGACTCAAACATTAAGATATTACCTTGTAAAATTTTGTTTTCATTATATGATATTTACAGTTTAGAAAAAAAAAATCATGGTTTAACTGATTAATCTCAAGAGGGGTACTGAATAAAATAAAGGGAATTATGCTAATATAGAACAAGAAAAACATGCCTCATGTCCCCTTAGTATAAACCTGCACTAATATGTCCGAATGGTATAAATCTTTCGATAATCCCAAAACTAACCTTAGATTAATTTAATTAAACATAACTTATATTAATGAAAATAAATAAATCAATTAAAAATAAAAATAAGAAAAAAGAATTAAAAACAAGGGAAAGGGAACAAAAACCCTTTATGTTCCCGTAACCCTAATTTGACGATTTCTCCTTTTGCCTCTCTCTCTCTCTCTCTCGACAAGAACACAAGGAGATGGGAAGGAGATTGTCTCAAGGAAGTGTTCATGGGGTGGTTTGAACAGTGTTGTGAGAAGGAAACAATTTGATTCTCCTCATATTAAAAACACGATGGAGATCATCATCATCAGCTTGCCAAGAAACTAACAGCCGTTGACTTTGTTGCTATTGGTATGAGACAGAGATCCAAACGTTTGATTGTGATTTTGTATATTAAATTGATCATTTACTTCCTTTGTTGACTTTTTGAAGGAGTTGGAACAATAATTGGAGCAGGAGTGTATATTCTTGTGGGGATAGTAGCTAGACAACACACATGACGTGCTCTTGTTGTATCCTTCTTCATCGCTGGTGTAGCAGCTGCTCTCTCCGCTTGTTGCTATGTTGAGCTTGATTCTCGATGTCCATCTGCTGGGAGTGCTTATCATTATGCTTATATTTGTCTTGGTGAAGGGTATGGACTAGATAGGATTCTAATGTCAGAAAATTTAAACATACCTGAGATTCTAGATATTCTTATTGCATAGGATTGCTTGGCTGGTTGGTTGGTTGGGAACTAGTGTTGGATTATAAGATTGGTGGATTAGCCATTGCATGTGGATATCTCCAAATATGGTAATTCCCTTTGAGTTATATGTATACTCGAATTTGATTCTGACGAGTGTTCTTGTTCTAGGCATCTTTTTTTGGAGGGTCAGACAAACTTCATGTGTTCTTAGCTCGACAAACCATACCCGGACTTGGTATTGTGGTTGATCCTTGTGCAGCACTGCTGGTTATTATTGTTACAATACTACTATGTTTTGGGCTAAAGGAGGTACTTACATTTCAAATATTCATTTCAGGATTGTTAGATCGTTTTTACAGAGTATTGAGACCAGTTTATTTATTTTTTTTGTCTTGACAGAGCTCATTAGTACAAGCAATTGTAGCATCAGTGAATGTTTGCACATTGATGTTATCATAGTAGTTGGTGGATATTTAGCTTTCAAGACTGGCTGGGTTGGATATGATCTTCCTGATGGGTAAATTAATCTTTGATTTTCTTCTTCTATTGTGGCTAAGTTATGTGTCACATAATAATTTTTAAGGTCAATGCTTTACAAGTATTTTCCTTTTGGATTAAATGGGATTCTCGTTGGATCTGCTGTAGTGTTCTTCCCATAAATTGGATTTGATACTGTAACAAGCACAGCTGAGGAGGTATATACATTTGTTTTTTCTCCTCTAGTGACTCTCTTTTAAGAATCTGTATTGAAATAAATAGTTATAGAAGAGGATGTTTAGTCCTAGTATTGTGATCTCTTTATTTCATAATTCTGCCAATTTTCTCTGTTAAGCTCTTAAACTTTTGGATTGCCACAACAGGTTAAAAATCCTCAAAGGGATCTTCCGTTGGGGATTGAGATTGCATTACTGATATGCTGCATTTTATATATTCTTTTATCCGTAGTTATTGTTGGATTGGTCCCTTACTATACTTTGGATCCTGATACTCCTATCTCCTCTACATTTGGAGACAGTGTGATGCAATGGGCAGCGTAAGTATGATACATCTTTTTGAGACTGAAACAGCTCTATTTCATGAGAGTGAACATAATATAAATACTACTTTCATATATGTTTCAGGTACATCTTAACTACTGGGGCAATAACTGCTACTAGATAAGATCCGCGCCATGCGCGGAATGGAAATATTATTAAATTACAAAATTATAAGAAACCATTCATATAATATTAGAATTGATGTCATGCAATTTGGAATGGTGTAGTAACACGCAACATTTGTTTGTTTATACAGTAAAATCTCTATAAATTAATAATGTTGAAACTTTAAAATTTTATTAATTTATAGAGATATTAATTTACAAATTTTTTTTTATTTAGATTTTTTTTCTATTTTTCATTTTTATTTATAAAAAAATATATTTGATTTTAGTGTATGTACATTATTTAAATTTTAGAAATTTTACTTTTAAATTGTTTTATTATCTTATTTGGTGTATATTTTTTATGTTTCATAGAATTTTTATGTGGTTTCTGACTGTAAATATAAAACCAATAATATAATGCTAGATTGTACTTATATAAAATTATATATATATATTAATTTATGATTATAATGGGACTATATATTTACATGGCAGTTTTAAAGCTATTATTAGCTTATTATTTTATCAATTTGTGTCATATTTTACACCGGCCCAAATTGGGACCGGTGATATTTATTAATTTATAGAGATAATTAATTTATCGAGTATTAATTTATAGAAGTTCTACTCTATAATATAAGTGAAGTCTGGAAAACTGAGCCATAATTATAAAAGGAAATATTTATATTGTAATATTCTGTGATTGATAACGCATTTGCATTACTAATTTTATGGAGTCAGTATCGAATACATTACCATATATATTGGATGCAACACAATGGAAATATCACATTTCATAAAAGAATCAGTGCAATTTTCTTTATAAATTATATCAATTTGAAATATCAGTCAAAGATATGAAGAATAATTGAGTATATACAAATATTGAAATGAATGTAACTATTTACAAATTTACAAATGTCTGATTTCTTGGTGAGTAACCATGTTTTATTTCATAAGAATACCATATGGTTCTTATATTTTAAGAATTTGCCATACAATGTGAAACTGAAAAACACTTTTTGACACTATATAATCCACAAATTTCCACATTGTGAATACTGAATATATATACATACAATGAAGTTTTCATGCTCAATAATAAATTCTCGGTTTGTTCCTATGTCAAACAAAATAATATATATAGATATAAACCACCTTAATAGTCATATATTAGTTTATTTGGCTTGTTATAATTTGTTCAAAACATTAGACCAATTGGCGGACGGGCCCATACGACATCTTTATAACATCCAAACGTTTAGTTTAGTTATATTATGAAGAAGAATAGTTTAAATATAAGTAGGACCAATGGCAATTAATTGTAATTAATCTAGATATGAAAGGGTAATTATAAAAATATGCTGAGGATGCATGAGAGATTGACACATAAGTATAATGGTAGTGATGTAAATAAAGTACTAAATTAAGGTTACTCTCTCAAATTGCTTCCCTATTAATAATTAAGGGATGTGTGCAAGTTTGTTGGGTTCGCTTCTGGCTCAGGTACTAACCAATTCTTATTGTTTTGAAAAGCTCAACTTCAATTCTTTTTTGTTACTGATATTTCTAGCTATATTCTAGTCTACGCGTGGGTCATGGTTTTTGACACTGTTTTGGGTTTTTCTTTATCAGCCACGAATCTTCATGGCAATGGCTAGGGATGGACTTTTGCCAGGTCTCTTGGGAGATGAAATCAGTCTACTGTTTCTTTGTGTTATGTTCTTACGATCTCTTAACATGTTTTTTTGGTTTTTAGAGTTTTGTTCTTACAATGAATATGTCGATTTCTGGTTCTTTCTGTTCTGCTCTTATTATTTACGAAACTGAAAACATCATATTGTAAAGAAAATCGAAAACATGATTGTAATGTATCAGAGTGACACTGAAAACAAATTTTCAAAGATTTTAGAACCAAAAATCCTATGAAACTGATAGCAATGCATAACAGAGAAGCTGAAAACATACTTTTAATTAGAGTTGATGGATATTGTCCAACAAAGGAATCACTGGATATTCTCTTGGTGAACGCAAAGTAGAGTTGATGGATTCAGCAGGGTTGATTGTCCTTATGTCATATTTGTATCCAAGATATTTACATCAAATCCTTTTTTCATCAGGCGAAAACACCCATCCCGTTGTAGCACTTAATTCCCATACACCACAAGTGGTATACATATGCATCATACAAGAAAATTTGTGAAAATAAAAAAAAAACAATGGAGACTAGGTTGGATGAAGAAGCTAGGCTTTTGGAGTTGACACAAAAAGGAATTTTTCACGTAAGAAATCGGTTCCCATGTTTAAGGAAATTGCAATTATTAACAAATATTTTTAGAATATTTTCCCAAATAATTTCCAAAATTTTCAAATTTTGTTTTATCTTATCCGTAGAAGGTACCTTCTACAGATAGTAGAAATACTAATGTGTCACTATAAGCAAATTCTATTATTAGTAGACGTTTGAGTTATGTGTAGATTACGTATTCTGAGATTTGTAGAAGTGGTTTAAAACGTAGAACCCACATTCAGTTTTTTTTGTAGAATTCTATATAAACGTAGAATATAAATTCTAGAAGATGTAGAGTTCTATATAAACGTAGAATATAGATTCTAAAAAATGTAGAGTTTACTATTTAATGTAGAATATGAATTCTACTATGCGATATTTTGTAAAATATAAATTCTACTTTCCTTCGAATCGTAATTAAAATTTTTAATTTATCAAGTTTTTAAAAATAAAAAAATATCAGTTTGTGTATATAGGTATTTCATCACTTCTTTGTATTTTAAATATTTTTCGAGTCATATAACTATTTATTTCATTATTTTTTATAAATGAAAAGGGTAAAAGAGAAAAAAAATGGACAAAAAATATTTTATACTAAAAGGACATGAAGTCTGTTTTTCTGTTCTATATTAGCATAATTCCCAATAATAAATAGTATTTCTAGAACTAAAAACTAAATGGAATGAAAATTGAGAATATTAGTGAAATCGTAAATCCTACTCAGCATATTCATCCGTATTCATGTATGTTAAGAAATAGAAAATTTAACAAAATATCTTTTATTCAAAAAATAGAATATGTGACATTGATTTATTTTTTCATTATATCATAGTAAATTTTTGATGAGATCATATAAAAAAATGCACTTAAATAAACTTATCCTACAAAAATGCATTCCACTTGCCGCCAATGTTATTTTGCGAGAAATTTCTAACCTCTCCAATTCTTGAGGAGGGAAGCGCTTAGATCTGTCAATGTCAACCTAGTCGTGAAATCTTCACACTCAACATACTTCTCATATTATGGATATTTATTTTTTTAAGAGTTTTTTTGGTAAATTTTTTTAAAGAGTTTTGTCTATGTTTTATTCATCAGACGAATTTTACCTTTTGGATATTTTGTAAAAATTGCTCAACCATTTATATGAATTTAGAAGTAGTTTGAAAGTACTTATAGTTGTAAAGCTAATTATTATAAAAGAACTTTATTTGATGTTCCTGTAGAAAATCCAATCGATATTTTATTATCGCAGAGTTTTACATGCTCTACATGTTTCTTAATTAAAGAACCACAAATCACATGCCTTACCTTTGTGACAAAAAATAAAGAAATATGAACTCAGATCTAAAACGTATTATTGTGGCATACTATACAATAACAAAAAATATTAAGGGAGATTTAACCTGCTGATTTATTTTGTGTAAAACCATTATAAACTAAAACTATTTAAAGTCCCACGTCAAAGTGACCTGGCAATTGAATAAGGGCAACGTATAATATAAGGGAGATTTAACCTGCATGCTGAATTGTTGATAAAACTTCTATAAACTTAAACTATTTTAAATTTATGTACCTGGCCCATGCCACAATTCCTTAGGTCCGCCTTACTATGATATTATGCAACTTTTTAAATTTGGCTACTTTCATCTATCTGGGTGTTAAAAATTATAAAAATCAGTCTTTATTCTAGGACGAATTCGTCAACATGCGGTATAGAATATACAGATCAACTTCATCATTTGCTTATAAAAGAACACAAACTAGAGTTCTCGAATAAGCAAACTATTTTTGGAGAAAAGTCTCTCATCAATGGCCCATATCTCTGATGTTACTGCTCAGACACAAACCGTCATCTTAGACATCAAAGATGATGATTCCCCCCGCCCTCGTGTATTCATATCCTTCGTTCAAAAGGTAATGATATGCTTTCTTGATTTTATCGAGACAATGATATGCACGTCCAGTTTTGACAGTATGATAATAAACAGAAGTAACATCTATATACTTGTCGGGTTGAGTTTTTGATTATATTACGTAGTTTAAAAGAGTTTAATACTTTGGTTAACTATTCTTGTTCGTAGCTACTGTTTTAGATTATTGAAAACGAGCAGATCAATACCAGTGACTCAAATTCGGATTTAGTTATTATATGTATGATTGGTGAAATTGAGTTTTCTAATAAACTTAAAATTTAGTTTTATTGTTATATAATTAAAATCGTATTGTTGTACACTCTAGTTGTTTGGCGAGTTTGTGGGGACATTCTCTCTGGTATTTGCCGGCTGCTCGGCAATCGTGGTAAATGATACGTACGGTAAACCGGTGACACTTCCTGGCATAGCTTTGGTATGGGGTCTAACCGTAATGGTTATGACCTACTCAATAGGTCATATCTCCGGTGCACATTTCAACCCTGCTATTACCATTGCGCTTGCTTCTTCTAGAAGATTTCCATTAAAACAGGTGACGAAACAAAAAACCATACTATAGAATTCAGTTCTTATATTATTATCATACCTTTTACTATTGTAATCTAAAATAATATAGGATTTTATATGACATGATGCGGTGGACGAAGTGACAAGATATGATTTACGTGAATCATATACATTTATGCATAATAACATCTTTTATTCACTCAAGATGATTTCGCAATATGAAAAGCGCAAAAAAAAAAAAAAAAATGTCTTTCCGAGAATATCTAAACAAATCAAAACGTTTTCTCATATCTTACTTATGCATATACCTTTTATCATTTTCCTTAATGTCGTAGTATTTACCAACTAGAGTCATAAACTGTATGTATAATATAAAGTTATGATCAATTTCTTTATATAGGTTCCTGGGTATATTGCCGCTCAAGTTCTCGGATCAACCTTAGCGATAGAATCTATCCGGCTCATGTTCCAGCTGAACAATGACGGTTGTAGCCTCAAAGGCTCTATTTATGTGGGAAACCACCCGTCAAGTTCAAACACGGCGGCGTTCGTAGTGGAATTCATCGCTACTTTCAACTTGTTGTTTGTTATTTCGGCTGTAGCTACTGATAAACGAGCCAACAGATCATTCGCAGGCGTTGCGATTGGTGCGACCGTAGTACTCGACATCTTGTTCGGCGGGTACTTATATCGAAAACCATTGTAATATATATTACAAAGTAATTATGAATGTTTTAACAAAATTTGCAAAAAAAAAATGATTGTTAATCGATTAGGCCAATCTCGGGAGCATCAATGAATCCAGCAAGAAGCTTGGCCCCTGCATATATATGGGGATGTTATAAGGATTTATGGGTATACATAGTTGCACCTATTGTCGGAGCATTGGCAGGTGCATGGACTTATAATATGTTACGGTCTACAAATAAATCATATGGTGAGATAATACGTCCAAATTGCAATAAAGAAGCATCTCAAGACGATTTTTGTGTTCTTCGAGTGGTTGACCCGAATAACCGGAAACTTTTTATACTTTCATCTCCCACCGAAATTAACGATACATGTAATGTCACATGCAAGTTGGCTTAAAACACAGATGTGTTGCAATTGGTCCGTGTGATAGTTGTCTTTTGATTGTGTTTGTGTCTTTTTTTTTTGGGCAAATTTTTGTGTGTCTATGTGAGGTTTTCATTGCGTATCAGTATTTGTGTGTATTAAACTATATGTTTGTGTTATATATTTTCTAATGTGTGTGTGGAAATTTTCTTTTTCCAAGAACTCCTGCTTGAGCTAAGAAGTGGTTGCTCATATATTTTTTCTTGTTGAGAAGTTGCTCAGATTGGGTTTTTGTATGAACATTTATCGCATTTAATTTATAAATTTAAGATGATGTATCCTAATCAACTTATGAATATATCGAAATTGAATACAAAGAAACAGTGAGATTATTAGGAAATTTGGTTGTATTTCACTTTTTGCTTAGATTTCAGTTTTATATATTGTTGTACCAATTCATTCCTGATTGATTAGGTATTTTATTGTAAAATAGTCTGGGAATTGATTTATTAATTTTCCAAAAAATAGTAGAAACATATATTAAATGAGAAAAATAATAATATAAAACACCGTGAAAGATACATTGATATTTATTTCTAGGATCGTATAAAATATAAATAATGAAAACTACAGTTGAGAAATCATTGATGTAGATAACTTTGTTTTCGATAACATCTATTATATTAAAAGAGAAGTCACAACTTCTCTTCATGTGTGATATTTTTAAAAATGGACCATTTCTAGAAATTAATATTTCATATGTATCTTAATAACATTTTTTTTTACTTAGTTACAATATCTTTTGATATCTTTCTTTTATTTGAAATAAAATAAATATTTTAAAAAGAATTCTAACAAAATCTTTTAGAATCTTTTATAAACATTAAACATATGAATAATAATATATACAATGATGTAAATAATTATATATATATATATATTTATAAATGAATTTAATACCCGCTCGGTTGAGCGGGTCAAAATCTAGTCTACTCTATTAAAATAGATCATTCTTTTTTATCTACTGATACAAGTTGTTATTTAAATTTGGACTCTTTCTAGAATGTTACAAATAATATAAGTCATATAATTGAATGAACCGTATTACTTAAATTAAATCAACACAATTAATGTAAAGAGACGACCTTAATGTAAACTACCTTCAAAATATGGTAGGTGTCTATGTGTATACCGAAAACACATATTTTCTCCTACAAATATGGAATGTTTTAAAAGAATATATATCATCAAAATATGAAATTTGGAAATCTACTAATTATACTTAAATTAAACCAGTGGTTATTTATGTAATATAGTTGGGATTACTTTTATTTTTTGAACAAATTATATAGTTTGGTTTTTGGGATTAGTATTAAGAAAAAAACTCTAAAAACATTGAATAAACTTTTCATCTTAAAAGATCAAAAAATCAATTATTATTTTCAGACCCAAAGGTATTTAATATTTTTAACAAAACAAAATTATCCATCATTAATCATTTATTTAAATCATGTACTTTAAAACATGTTAATATATTTTTTTAATTTTAAATAACAATCACTTTGTTTTGATAAATTTCAATGATAAATTTTAAATAATTTATTGTTTTGTTTTTCTTAAATAATTTACTGATTAAAAAAATGTAAAGCAAAACCAAAAAACAAATCAAAAAACTAAAATCCAAAACCAAAAGCTCAAAACACATGTTATCTTTTTTTGCTTTGTTTATTTACAAAATAAACTATTTCAATTTTTTTTAAAAAAAATTGTTGTCATCTTTTCAGTTTTGAATTAGATGTTCGATTATTTGAGATTTGTTTGTTGGTAATATTAGTTCAAACTAACTCATCTGGTTTAAAAATTCAAAACCCAAACCCAAAACTGAAAATGAAAAGTAGAAACTTAAAAACTAAAAATCAAAATCTAAAAATAAAAACTGAAACTAAAAACTAATGAAAAATAATCATCACCACAAATTTTGGTGAACTGATTTTATATAAAAATATTCTTTAAACTAAGACAAAAACCAATTATATAAATTTTTAATCATAAAAAATTTCCGCGCTTTCAAGCGCGGGTCAAAATCTAGTATATATTTAATATAATTCACAAAGACGAATTGTATTCCACTTCACACAATTGAAAAGTGTTAACTCCGTTAATATCTAAACTTTTTATGATAGTTCCTATTATATTTCTATTCTTGTAAACCCAACCCTCAGTTTTTTATACACCAACTATAATAAAATCAGATCATTCTAAATTAGGAAGATGGTGAAGAAGAGGCACAAAAGTGTTTATTTTGTAAAAGAGTCCACCATAAAATTGAGGCATTTTGGGATATACAAAAAACTTGCAATAAAAAAAGGAGAATGATAGATATTCTCCCCATTTTAGTTTATTTTTCGTTGTAGAGGAAACTTTTTGTTTCAAAAAGTGTCGATTGATGATTCTAAGATAAAATTTATTAATTTGATATGCTGTTTTATATTAGTTGAAATGGTTTATTGGTATTTTTATAAAGAAATATCCAAATTAATTTTTTTTCTTAATTCAGCACAAACCTAAAATGAAACGGATGAAATATTCAATATCTTGAATGAGCCCGTATAAATTAGTAGAGAGATTCCTTTTGTTCATGAAATATGTTCTAGAACCAAGTATCACAAGCCTTTATAGCAACGTGTGGAAGATAAAGGCTCCAAGCAAGATAAAACATTTTTTTGTTGCAGGCTATCTCGGGCTGTGTGGCGACGGTAGAGAGACTCACTTATAAACATCTGGGCACATATAGGAGTTGTGCTAGATGTGCCGGCTCAGTGGCGTCGATTAATCATCTTCTTTTTGAATGCTCACCAGCCCTGCAGGTTTGGGCTTTATTGGACTATTTGTCCCTTCCGGGTGACTTCCCGAGTACATTTATATACCAAACATGAATTTATTGTTTTGGGAGAGAAAAGATGTGGCTCCACTGAGACCATAATTTGATACCTTCACATGGATCTGTAGGTACATTTGGAAGGCGAGGAACGACAAAATCTTTAATGGGAAAGTCGTTTTCCCGATTGACACTCTCCAACACGCGTCTCTTAAGGTAGAATGTTGGAGTAAGGCTAATGAAAAGGAAGAAACAAACGAGGATCATGAAAATCCTACGGAGGTTGAGACGTGTCCCCTTGGATACCCCGAATTCTTACCTGCCAAATCGATGCGTCGTGGATCGATAATGGTAGGTGTTAGTGGTTTAGGGTGGAATCTTAAGGATCAAATTGGTTCTGAAGTCTTCGGATTACGTGCGTGCAGAAGGAGTCTCTCAGCTTTGCATGCTGAGATGGAAGGTTTACTTTGGGCAGCCTCATGTATGAGAGACATGAGGATAACTTCGATACAGTTTGAGGCAGACTGCTTGGAATTAGTAGACATGACTACAAACCCGGAGGATTGGCTGACTTTCATGACAGATATCAAAGTGTTCCAGATATTACAAGAGGATTTCGAGGATGTGAGTTTGTCTCATATTCCTCGGAATATGAATGGTCGAGCGGATGCACTAGCAAAAGAAACAAGGATCATAGGCTATATCTTTTCTCATATAGACTACATCCGGTCAGACGGAGATTCTTTTCGGAGAATCGACTCGTCTGACCACCACTTGATCTAATTTAGATGGGCGGTTGGCAAAAAAAAATTAGTAGAGAGATGTACACTGAGAAATTACTCTCTGGCTCTCTTCTCGAGGTTGGATCCAGAACTAATTTTTGAGTTCCAAATTTTGAATTTATCTCCGTGAACTATTTCCGGTGGTCAGTTTTGTTAGAATCCTCCAACTGTGGAGCCATCGTTTTCAACTTTTCTTTCCCCATCATGCCAATCTCAACCGTTTGAGATCTTTTCAAACAGAGACTCCATCACTTCAGTCCCAAGTATATTTTTACAACACCGCATATGGATCTAGTCCATCGGAGAGCTCCTGCCTTGCATCATCTCCCCCTAATATAGGGCGTTGTGACAATGGTGCAAGTGCCACCAGTCTTTAATTTCTAGCCTAGTGCTAAGATTGTCGTTTTAAATCTACCTTCTAATTTTTTTGATTTGATTCCTTGCTGTGATGACATAAAGAATTATTCTTCTGGCTTTTACAACGACTGTGACAGTGAGGAGTCCGATTAAGTTACCAAGCCTCTCTTTGTTAGTATTTCCCGCTGGTGAGCCTTCTGGTAAGAAAGCTTTTGTTTTTTGAGTGATTTAGTGAACTACCCATATTTGAAGCTCAAATTAGCAAAATACCATTGATTGGACATGAAGGACACTGACACAACCATTTGACAAGGAAATGCCGAGAATGCCCTTTCTCTTTCCTCTCATTAACACGAAGCGTAAAAACATTTGTTAACATATAACACTTCTGTTAACGTCTACAATATTTGTTAACAGCCAACACATTTATTACCGCGAAGCGTAAAAATAATTGTTAACAGTTAACACTTCTGTTAACGTCTACAATATTTGTTAACAGCAAACACATTTATTAACGCGAAGCGTAAAAATAATTGTTAACAACTAACACTTCTGTTAACGTCTACAATATTTGTTAACCGCTAACACGACGTCGAATCTAAAACCCAAAAAATTGATATCATCAAAAACTTG